TGCGGGCATTGCAGACATTAAAAAAATAAATATAATATAAACTTTGGTATATAGTATAAATAGTATACATTTAATACAAATAACAAGCAAATTTTTTTGCGCCTAAAACAAGCTATTAAATATGATTGAATTTCACCCTGTTACATTCGGTTCTATCGTATAAGTTTGATTTGAGTCATGCTGCATCCAAGTGTCAGGATGGCCGAGCGGTCTAAGGCGCCAGACTCAAGGTTATAAATCTTGCCTCTTGAACAGAGGTTCGTATGAGCGTTCTGGTCCTCTCTGAGGGCGTGGGTTCGAATCCCACTTCTGACAAAATCTTTTTGGAATTATTTTTATTTTAAATATAAATATTTCCTACGACGACAAAATTAATAATATTTTATTTGCAGAATTTATGAAATATTTTAGCAAAATACCTTTAAATAATAGTATGTTTACAAACCTGTGTATTACAGCACATGTATTAAATAATATTGTGTCTCACAGTTCAACAAGTGCCTCCGTGGCGCAATCGGTTAGCGCGTTCGGCTGTTAACCGAAAGGTTGGTGGTTCGAGTCCACCCGGGGGCGAATATAACTTTTTGATTTTATTTTTTATTTTTATAAATATGTACGTTGCATATGCATATATTTTGCAACTTCATTTCTGAATACCATATTTTTGCCAAATATATATTATTTAATTACAGTATAATTTTAGTTAACAGTCAAATAACAGCAGCAAATAATAAATTTGAAATGCACAACATTTAATGTGGTGGGTTCGTTAGGTTGATATTTTTGCGCCACTTTTGTTAGTGGTGAAATTAGAGCTCAGGTGGTAACATTTGCTATGTTTTAGTGCTCTTCAACACATGCATATGTGAATATTCTCTCTCACGTACGCATAAGCTAGTCGCTGGCGGCTTTTGTTCAGTTGCTTTCGAAACCCACACGCGCAAACTACGTGGATCGGCTGAGTTGCTAATAGAAACTCCTCGCGGTAGATTTTTGTGATTATAATATCGCTTTTGTGGAACTGCATATTTGGAATAGCATATTGGAGTGGCACAATGCCCGGAAGCATATCCGTATTTAAATATATTTTGAATATAAGTGCAGAGTGAAGTCATTAAAAACAAAACACGGCAAAGGTGGATAATAGATGTTAACGACAACAGTTATTCACACATCCCGTATACAATATGCAGATGTGCAATAGTATTGGCTAACATACAAAGTAATTGCGGCTTCACGGTGGTTTCTTATGCGCCACGTCTTATATATCAAAGTGTGCGTGTGCGTTAGTGTGCTTAAATGAGTTAAATCCATGACCAATCTAATGTTGATTCAATAGAATACTAACGCACACATACATATGCATGCTAGCCTAATACATGTGTGTTTACATATTATATCTAAGATGGTGTGGGTTGGCGCCTTCTATTAATTCTGCTTTATTCTGTTCAACACCTTATACTCTCTCTACGTGTGTGTGTGGCGTTCTCCTGCTCTCGCTCTCACACTCGCTCTCGCTCTCATTTGTCAACGGCAATTGTCTTGTTTTTTTTTATTGTGTTTAGTATTTCTCGCGGTTATTTCTTTGCCATTGTTGCATTATTGTAATTGTACTTTTTTCTCACACACACACGCATACACAAGGGTGTTTGTGTTCGTGTGTGTACACAAATGTTGTTCAAACTAGTTTCCTCGTGTTTTGTTATTTTTTTTGGACTCTGTTTTAAATAATATTGTCTCCCCCTTTTTATCAAGTTTTTCGCTTTCAATCTCTATTTGTAAATTATTTATTTTGTTTTTCATTGTTTTCGTTTTTCATGCAGTTTCATTGCAAACCTTCTGCCAGCACATCTCAGTTGATATTTTATTGATGTTGAAAGAAGTGAAATTTATTTCGCGCAGTTTTTATTTATAAAATATGTTTAATATCTATTATGCAGAAAGTAAACACAAATTACGCTCAGAAGGTAAAATTTGACAAAATATAGCAGGAATTTAATTAACTGCAATTAATAAATGTAAAAAGTAAATATTGTCATGGAACATATTTAGAAATATATAATATACATTTTTTTTTCTTTTTGTACATATTTAATGCTTGCCAAATTCATATATTTTGAAAATACATACATATATGTTTTTCGTTTTATTTATACATCGATTACGTACGAATTTCAAAATAAATAAAACGTCATTATTTTTATATTATACAAATAGGCCAAAAACAAATATAAATATAATACATTTTCGTTACATTTTTATGTAAGCAAACGAAAGTATTTCTAATTAAATTTGTTTTTAATATTTAAATTTTAGAACTTATTTCACAATTCGTATGTTATAAGTTTCGACTAAGGTGCTTAGGTTAATAATCTTCTGATCTTTTAGATCTTCTTGTTCTTTAGATCTTCCTCAAGAGATTATATATCCGCTTTTAATTGAGTAATTTTAAATACCACTGTCATTTGGTCTAGAGATTTTCATTATATTGAACCTTATATATTTGATTTAATTTAAATATGTTATTTAATACCTTTTATAGTTATATATTTAATTCAAACATTATTTTATTCCTTTTACAATTTGTAAGGCTTTACATTCTCTAAGGGCAGTCTCTAAATTGTCGTCTAGATATTTAAGATCTTATACAGGATATTTTACCATAGAGCTTGTAGATCTTGTTGATCATATTTTGTACAATTTTGCTATGTATTGAATTTTGCCTGATTTTCTGCTTTATTTGTCTATGTAAAGAAATCTTGCATATATTCCAAAT